ATCAGCATTATTCACCAAGTTCACCTTTTTGTCTGCTCTGCTACTTTCTTTGTTCCAGCAGTTAGAAGCATAATGACCAAGTTTATTGCAATGATAACATCGGATTTTAGATTTATCATACCATTGGCTTGTCGAGTTCTTTCCTCTTCCACGAACACTTCTTTGGTACTGGTATCCTCTATCACTTCGAGTAGGATCTCCTCTGCTTCGTCCACGACCTCTTTCTCGAAAGTGACCTCGGCCATGACTTCGATCACGATCTTGATTTATCCCGCGATTTTGTACGGGATCTCTTCTTTGCTCCTTCTCATCTCGAATGGTCAATTGCGTTTGGAGAACTTCCTCCACCGGCTCAATCTTTTTCTTTCTAAACCTTTCTTCATGGGCTTGTAATGAACCCATAAGTTCATCGACTGTCATGGCATCCAAATCTTTGGATTCTTCAATTGCAACCGCAATATGATCATACTTCTTGTCTAAGGACCGAAGTATTTTCTCGACAACGCGAACATCGGAAACGTCTTCTCCGTTTCTTTTCATTTGATTAACAATTGTCAAAATTCTTGTGAAATAATCAGCAATCGATTCAGATTCTTTCATGTGAATTACCTCGAATTCGCCTCTCAAGGTTTAAAGGCGAATCTTATGAACTTTCTGAATTCCTTGATGTGTGTTTTGAAGAATCTCCCATGCCTCTTTAGCGGTAGTGGCGTTCGAAACTTTTTCGAACATGGAATCATCTAACGCTTGGTAGATGATCGACAGGGCATATTGATCTTTCGTTCGAACCTTCTCCAAGGCATTCCTCTGGTTTTGGTTCAACGTGGCTTCATCCTCTGGCTCATCATAGCCAGTGTTAACAAGTTCCCACACACCGTAGGCACCGAGTAGAGCTTTCATTCTAACAGCCCAGTTACCATAATTTTCTTTAGTAAGACGAGGGTATTGAAGAGGAAGTTGATTGTTCGTTGAGGCCATGATCACGAACCGTAAGCTCTGATACCAATTTGTTGAGCGTCAGAGGCGCGGCAACAATATTGATTTGATGGAAGAAATTTTTTTAAGGTGAAACGATCGCAATTCGCGCCTTTCTATTGCATGTCTCAATTACAAGAGAAATAGACTATATATAGGCCATAGTTTGATTCGAAATAGGAAACCTCTTTCTAGGAAACCTATTCTAATTAGGAAACCTACTTGACTTAGGAAACTTTCCTAAAATATAACTAGAAACAATATCTCACAATATCTTATCTTATCTCTTAATATCTCACCATATATATGAAAAATCAAAATATGAAAATACGAACAGACTCAAAAAGGAAATAAGTACTAACAAATTTGGTTTAATTTCTAACAGTATGCACGTACGTAGAGGAGAAAACACCCTGACGAGTTCACAATTCCTCACGACTATTGCTCACCCAAACCAGCGCGACCACACCCCTGCATTGTCCAAAGAGTCTCGCTGCCGTGCCTTCTCCATTGAGCTACGGTTTCCAGCTGCATCTTGCCCGGAGACCGTCCTGCAGTGCCTCATCTCCACCTCGAAGAAACTGCTGCTCCTTGTACCGCCTGGGCGAGAGGTTGAGGACGACTTCGCCCTTGGGGATGCCCATGGCAGAAAAGGCGGGAGGCAAGGGAGTCGATGGAGTGCCAGAGTTCGCGGAAGGCGATGTGGAGGCTGGAGGAGGCGTCAATGAAGGCGGTGGAGCCACAGTAGCAATAGGAGGAGATGAAGGTGGCAATGTCGAGGGAGTGGTTGGGGGGAGGGGAATAGGTTGCACTTGTTGTAGAAGGTCGAGTTGGAGCTGTAGAAACCGCTTTTGGGGTCAATTTGGAGTGGGTTGGTCGCCATTGAAGAAGAATCCTTACTTCTAGAGAGATTGAGCTTCAAGCAAAGCGATCTCTGTTCTTGGATTAGATAGAGAATAGAAGAGAGAACGTGAGGGAATGAGTCTTAAGGCCACGTCATTGTCCATGTTGGACATCCTTCTTCATAAGAAAGCCATAAAGATATTAAAATTTCATTTAAAAAAAAGCTATGTGGGGTGAATTTCCAGAATTTGTGGTAGGAGGCAGTTAGCTGATCTTCTTCGATTTTGCATTTAAATAATTCAACAAAAAGTTTTGGCACAAAAGTGAGCGTTGTATAGAAGTTATAGAACGTCTAATGTCCTTTTTTCTTTTTTCTTTTTCACTCCAAGATCAGACTCCACAAAATCTCTTACTCCAATGAACTTACTTGGAGATAAGTTCCAAGTCGAAAGACATCCAAAATGCGGGCCAAACTTCTACCTATCGGGTTTGGTATACGTACTCAAACTTGAGGGATAATTTAACTTATCATTCACTTATAGAAGGGAAATGCCTAAAATTGTCAACGAGTCGATGCGCAATTCGCATCAGGAGAGGAGGTTTCGAGCTGTATTCAGATGGCTGTCTTGTGCGTTCAAGAGTTCATATCGACCGACAGACGATGTCCACGGGCGAGTTCATGTTGGGGGATTCTGATGTGCTGCTTCCATCTTTAAAACAACCTGCGTTTGTCTTCAAGAAGAGCTACCATGGAGCGAATGTGCCATCTAGTAATGGCACTAGTTCTGCTTCTGTTATTGATTTCACGATTACTGCAGTCGATGCGCGATTAGCAAGTTCATATTTTCTGAAAAACCTCTGGTGAAGTGATTTGCATGTTACGTAATCTGATATAGAGATGATCCCTAAGATGGCAGGTTAGTCTATTGTAATCTACAGCTTCTTCATTTACTTGGTGAAGGTTTGCCCATCTTTCCTTCCATACTGGTGAAGCTGAAGTAAAGACAACATTACAGATGCTTCAATTACCTTCCATAATTTGTCCAATAGTGTAATTGCCGCATCGAAGGGAAAAAAAACAAGGATATGGCCATATCGGGTGATGCTGCAATTAGGGAAATAAAGGCTGTGTTGAAGATGTATTCGTCCATATTAAAACATACTTATGGACCTGAGTAGGTCCTTAAAAGACTATCTCGATTTTCGTCTGGATTTCGGGATCACCAGAATATAAAATTTCCATAGGGTATTCTCTCTTCCTAAAGAAAACAAAGATTTTGGGGTATCTAATATAGATGATTGGAAGATTAAAGTACGTGGTTTACGCATGTGAGAGTTAATAGGAATGGATATGGTGCTTATCGACGAGAAGGTGTGTATTTTTCTCTCTTCCACTTATCGTTCAATGTGGCACTCTCTCTAACTTTTTCAAAGTATGCTACGTTGAGCAAGACAAATCAATTTTTTTTCCTTCGATCATTTTTTCGACATGACTGTATTGATGCTACGATGATTACCAATATGGTTCATCATTTTCTGAAGCAGCTGAAGGAAGGAAATATTTATTTGAAGCGATAAAGTCACCACAAATCTCTAAATTATTATGACATTTACAATCTATCTCTAAATTTATAAAAATTTTCAATCTGGTCTCCCGACTTTCCATAACAAAGTCAAATTAGTCATTTGGTATCCTTCACAAGTTTTCATAACTACTTTATTGTTTAGATTTTAGAATTTCTTTTCATTTCAGACCATTTCTTAAATAAAAAATGATACGTCTTTATTAACTTTTTTGTGTTTATAAATTAATTAATTTCATTTGAGTATATTTCAACTTAATGATCTCTATTATAGTAACAATAAAATCTCATTCAAAGTTTTGTTGGTTGATATTACTGCTATTTTAAGTCTAAGTGTTTTCATAAGATATCTAAAAACGATTGATTTATCTATTAATATTCAGTATTTATACTCATCTAAATCTTTTTTCGACTTTGGTAAATAAAATTTTTAATTTTTTGTATTTCACATTTTTTTTTAAATTACATTTAGATTCTTTTTCTCCACTGCCATCCTATCAAGAGTGTGAGTTTGAGAGGTTAGGGAGAGTTCGTCTAAATAGAAACCACGGTCCGAGGTAGGAAATGAGACGGATCTGTGTTATGCCTGGACTAAGGAAGGTAAGGTTGGGGCTAGCTACCTCTAGAAAGCCGGAAGCCGGAAGCCGGAAGCCGACTACACTGGAACTCTCACGTCAAATACGTTCAAAGTATCGGTCCAAACTTTTCGTCTAAGATAAGTTCTTTTCTAAGTCAATCATACTTGCAATAGTTCCCGGGGTCTCCCGGGCAAAAGGTTGAAGAAAGCTCTGCAGTTAATAAAAATAATTTATTTTTGGGCCATTCCATAATGTTAGATAATAGGAAAAGGATGTTGACTGGGCTAATCGAATGGTTCTCCTCGGTTCCCCTCTTAAAACGTCTTCCGCTGACTTCCTAGTCTAGAAAACACATACTCTGCGAGTACCCAGAGAGGAAAGAAGACAAGTCAAGCCTGGACAGATCATGTTAAAGTCGCCTGATGCACCTAGGGGACCGGCAGACCAGTTATGCGACTGGACGAACCGGCGGGCTTGAAGTCAATGATGTCGGATTGAGCTCAAATTTGGTCGGCTGAAGCGAAACGGCGTGCTGATCAATACACATAGCCTTAGGCTATGATTAACAATGGATTTTCGCGATTCGGGGTCGTTTAGATAGTTTTTTTTTAATTATTTTAGTAATTTTCGAATTAAGGGTATTTTTGTATTTTTTGCGTTTTTTTGTCATTAGGGTTAACACCCTTTATAAACTCGTTTTTAGGGTTTTGAGAGGCAGTAGTTTTTGGATGTTTTGAAAACTTATCGATTGTTAATCGATTGGGAGAACAGTTTGTTCCTCGTTATCGTTTCGATTCTTCTGTTTAGCCTAATTTCTATCGCGCTTCGGCATCATCGCCGCTTGATGGTACATTTTCCACTGGGGTACGATTTTGATAGCAAATCGAATTCATAATGATGGTCATAAATGGTGGTTCCTCTCATCAATTAAAACCTCGGCTACACTGAGAAGTTTCTGTTTTATTGGTTGCGAAACAAAAGCCATATCTCTCTGCTTTCTTGCCTGAAACATAAGTGCAACATGAACCCTCGAAGAATGTCATTACACATCCTATTTTCATGTCTTCTTCTTCATTTGATTGATTCTTCGGATAACCTTGCCCCAAACAACGCCATGAAAGATGGTGATGTCTTAATCTCCAAAGAAAGGAAATTCGCTCTTGGTTTCTTCAGCCCCGGCAATTCAAGCTTGTGTTACGTGGGAATCTGGTACTATGGACAACCTGAGCAAACCGTCGTTTGGGTTGCTAACAGAGAAACTCCCGTGAGTGATACTTCAGGAGTTCTTGCATTTGATCATTATGGAAACTTAGTGATCCACGAAAAGAATGGGAGCTTTCCGATTTGGTCGATCAATGTTTCGTCCATGGCTTTAAATAATTCTACTACTGCTCAGCTATTGGATTCAGGTAATCTGGTTTTGATTCACGATTTAAGCAAAGTGGTTATTTGGCAGAGCTATGATTATCCCACAGATACCTTTCTTCCGTCCATGAAGCTTGGGTTGGACCGGAGAACCGGTTTGAACTGGTTCATGACATCTTGGAAACCTGAAGATGATCCAGCACCGGGCAGTTGTTCATTCAAGTTTGAACCAACAGGGTACCCACAGCGGTTCCTTTACAAGGATCAAGTGCCGTACTGGTGGCCCGGACCAATAATTGAGAAGCGGCAGGGTAGCCTTGCCAGGATGGCCAACAATTTTATCTATAACATCACAATTGTGAATAACGCGATGGAGGTTTCTCTGATGTATGCCGTCATCAATGTATCGGTTCTCTCCAGATATGTGGTGCACGAGTCAGGGTTAGTTAAACACTTCATATGGCACAATGAAGAGCAGCGGTGGACCGAGTTTAATTACCATCCAAAGGAACTGTGTGACTACTATGGCAAGTGTGGGCCTAATGGCATCTGTGGTGCAAACAATGCAGACCACTTCGCCTGCACATGCCTGCCCAGCTTCGAGCCCAAGTTTCCGGGCGATTGGTACCTAAGGGACGGAACAGGCAGCTGCAAGAGGAGGCAAGGCGTGTCAATGTGTCAAAGCGGGGAAGGTTTTGTGAAGGTGAAACGGCTGAAGTTGCCAGACACTTCAACAGCACATGTTGACATGGGCCTGAGCTTGAAGGAGTGTGAGCAGGAATGCTTGAGGGATTGCAATTGCACAGCTTATTCGAGTGCAAATGAAAGTTTTGGGGAATATGGGTGCCTCAAATGGTATGGAGATTTAGTGGATACAAGAGGATTTTCAAACTTGGGTCAAGATTTATATGTGCGGGTCAATGCAATTGCCTGAGGTACTCATTGCTAATCTTTACTTCAAATAGTTTTGCAGCAGTTGTGCGGCTGTAATTGTTGTCCCAATTTCTCCTGATCTCTTTTCTTGATGAAACTGTTTGGTTCTGATAGTTGATATTATTAACTGCACTTGTTGCATAATTTCCGTAACATTTGCACGTTCAATGTCATTGGCACACTTCTTGTGCCTTCCTTTACAGCTCGCTATAGGAAAAGAGTACTCCTGTCAAGAAGGCAATGGTGGTGGCAACGATATTGGTATCTGCACTGGTGTTGCTACTCTTAGGCTCCCTTATGTACTGCCTTCTGTTGAAGAGGAAAAGAGGTGCGGTGATCTAGCTTGATAGAAGCTTTTTCTTCCATATATATTGCTCAGTCTGTTTTACGAGTGGGTAATTATTTCAATGTTTAGGGTTAAGAAACAGATTAAATTTTAGATGGAGCTAATTGAGCCATGATTTTAGGTTAAACGGTGATTGATTTCAATACTTGAAACCTTGATCAGTGAAGCTGCACAGACATTGCTAGATAATTAGAGAATGCTGTATTGTGATTCATCTTGAAATTGAGCCTACGTGAATTGATCTTAAGCGAGAAGGTCATTGTTGAAGGGAAAATTTGTATTGTTCCGTCCTCTACATATAATTTTATTCATTGTTGAAGGCAAAAAAAGAAGCATTACATAATTGCTTTCATTGTCTTTCTTAAGCAATTTATTCATCTGTGTGACAGCAGATAGAAGCAGGCGTAATCATCTTGTTAGGGTTACCACAAGTTCAACATATTTTGAAGAACTTCCAGGTCTGAAAGACCTCGACAGGGAAGGTAGACCAAAAACAGATCTACCATTCTTTGATTTTGGCGCTGTAGCTGCAGCCACAAGCAACTTTTCCTCTGTCAATGAGCTCGGCCAAGGAGATTTTGGATCTGTCTATAAGGTAATTAATCTCTCTATTCCACTGAATGCGGATGGTTATTGTATATGAAATGTGTAGTCTACCGACTTCACGTGTCTGTCTCTTATGTGGATTGATGTCCTTGAAGAACATGCTCGGAAACGAGCTAGTTTTTTTTTCATAGGACCTTTTTCTCTTTGTAAATTCTCAAAAGGTATTGAGATCTGGTTACTTCCACTGTATCTATGGAGGCGTCTCATGTAGTGAGTCATACCTTCCAGTCATCACGAACCCAGGAAGTGATTAGCGAAAGACAAGGGAGAAGAAGCAGAGAACAGCACAAGCCATGTCGCTTCTTTATTTTTCTAGGTCATACAACATGCAATGAGTGTAACCTGCCCGGAAAGTTTAACTACCTAATAAATCCTAAAATCTACTCATGACGGCTTTCGAGTGACTGGCTTTATCTGACAGGTCTTAATGTTTATTCTTATGATGAGTTCATTTTCACAGGGTATGATGAATAACGGAAGAGAAATAGTGGTTAAAAGACTCTCTAAATATTCTGGACAAGGAGTTGAAGAGTTTAAGAATAAAGTTCGGTTGATTGCCAAGCTCCAACATCGGAATCTAGTGAAAATCTTAGGTTGCTGCATTCAAAGGATGAGAAACTGTTAATTTATGAGTATTTTCCCAATAAAAGCTTGGACTCATTCCTTTTTGGTAAGTCCTCTCTTTCAGTGGAAGAATTTCATTCCTTGTTGTGGATAATGACAAGGAAATTCCCAATTTTGGTCCAGATGAAACAAAGAGATTACTTCTGGATTGGGGAAAAAGGTCCGAAATTGCATATGCGGTGGCTTGAGGACTCATGTGTTTACACCAGGATTCAACGTTGAGGATAATCCACAGAGATTTGAAAGCTAGCACTGTCTTACTGGATGATACATTGAACCCCAAGATTTCAGATTTTGGGATAGTGACGATATGTAGAGGAGACCAATTGAAGGAAAAATGAAGCGCGTGATCGGGACATAGTAAGTGTTTTTCTTGAGCATTGGATTCTGCTTTACCTGATTAGGAAATGAGAAATTAGAACAAAGAAATAGAACTCGGACCAACCATTTTCTGTCTTCCATATGAAAGTTTAAATTTATAGTTATTTCCTCGAAAGTTCAATGGGGAAGTTTATACGGTGAATGAGATGTTGATTACTACTCTCCCTTCTAGCTTATGTAGTGGGTATATGGCACCAGAGTATGCTATGCAAGGCCGGTTTTCAATAAAATAAGATGTGTACAGTTATGGAGTTTTGTTGTTGGAGATCATTACGGGTCAAAGAAATAGTGGGTGCTATCATATGAAGCCCTTTTGCAATTTAATTGGTCATGTAAGTCTGAAACTCTTACATAATTCAATGCTATGCACAATTTGACCAACCTCTACATTCACATTATCATGTTCTTCCCAGGTATGGGAGCTGTGGAAAGGACAATGCATGGACATTGTCGACAAATCAATGGACAAGACATACTCTGAGAAAATGGTATCGTGGTGCATTCAGATTGGTCTTTTGTGGTGCAAAGATATGCATCGGACAGACCAACTATGTCCACAGTGGTTTTCATGTTGGGGAACGCTGATGTGGTACTTCCATCCCCGAAACAGCCCACGTTCATCGAAGAGAGTGACTACAATGGAGATTTTCAGTCAGCATGCAACAGAACATGTTCTGTTAATGGAGTTACAATTACTGTTGTTGAAGCTCGGTAGTCATAGCCATCACAAGTGAACTGCGTATTCTACTAAACTTGAGAAATTGAGGCACTTCCTGTATCCGTAGATAAATGACACCTAACGGCTAATGGTGTCTTATATGAGCTACCTTGTAGTTCTTGTGCGTATGAGAAATGTTTATATATAGATTAGATACAATAAAACAAAATTTCCTTGGTTTATTGATTGAGCTCACTCTCCGTCTCTTAACCTGAGACATGTACTTGTAGATTACTGTTTCTGCAACATTCTCATTATCCCACGATCAACTAATTTGTCGCCTATCTCATTTTATGTTGGCAGGAAGTTGTCAAATTGTATCATGAGATAAACCAGAAGATCCTTTTCCTTTTTTTTAATTGTCTTATTTTTGCATTACAAGTTCATAATAGATTCTTTGCTCTCAAGAAGACGGGGGCCTTACTTCACCTACAAACTTGAACGTGAAAGTGAATGAATTAACAGCAAAGGGTGACGCTGAAACTGACACTAGGCAAAGGGTCTTCAAGTATCATACATCTTAGCTCTTTCCACTCACTTTTTTGGTTAACAGGTCTTAATGTCACCATAACAAATATGGTGAATTAATCATGTTCCTAATTGACAATTTCGTAGGTCAACCTTACTTTGTTTGAACCCTAAAGAGTTTCGTCATACGAATGATTAATCATAGAAAAAAATTATAATTAGTCTACTCAGGCGAATCTGTTATGTCGATGCATGCTGATATCCCAACAAGGACTGATGATAACAAAAAGGCAATCTCTGTCTTTAAGCCTCTTATTTCGTAGAATGCTAGTCCTTTTTCTTTTCCTTTTTCTAATTTCTTCCAGCATACTTTCATGGTAAGCCCCAGTTTTCGATGTCACAAGAACCATCGTTTTGGTAAAACTTATACGTCATTGGCGATGGAAAGAGGACACCTTTATGGCCTGATCCATTGCATCCTTTAGGACCTCTTGTGGGTATTTTTTTTCTTAGAGAATTGTGTGTGATGTTGGACTTCCTTTTGAAGCAAAAGGTGCTGATGTCATTGACAATGGAATGTGGCACTGGCCTGCTGCAAGGTCTGAAGAACTGGTGCAAATTCAAGCAATCTGCTGTGGTAATATTTCTCGTAATATGAACTTGACTGATAGGGTCATTGGAAAACTTATTTTTCAGGGCAATTAACTATAAATAGTTCTTGGAGCAAGATCTTGTAACGTTTTCCTAATGTGGGTTACATTAATTGAGATTGTTATTACCCGCTTGCGGGTTTGGTCTAATAAGTTTGGATATAAGGTTTCTTAATTAGTCGGATATGGGCCCGGCTTGTGTGGGCCGAGTTCGGCTCGGCCCGTTATGAGAGGGCCTGGCTGGAAACTCTATAAATAGAGCTGCATGTCCCTCCTCTGTGCCTAACTCTCTCCAATCTCTCTCAAACGCTCTCAAACTCACCTAAAGCTTCCGTGAGTTGGCTGAGGCGGTCTCATAGCGCGGGGACTTCGGGAGCGACAGGGGAGAAGACCTACGGCACCGGTTCATCGTCATTTCCGCATCCAGGCCGATGGAATCCAAATCAAGTGCACAAATTCTATCCATCCTTTTACCGTACCGTTAATATCTCGCTATGGTGATCCTAGGGCGCTCGGCCGAGTCATACGGGCCGGCTAACATGTGGTATCAGAGCCGCCATAGTCGAGAAACGAGCCAGTACTGTTCGTATGTGGTTGTGATTTTTTCATCCGTTGAATGTTAGAATAAATCACATTGATGGATAGATCGTCGCGAGACGAGAAAAATGAGTGGTCGCCGGAAACGGCCGCACGCGCCGCCACGCGCCGGGGCGTGGGAGAGCCCCGGCGGGACATGCGCGGGTGTTTCCAGGCGCGTGCAGCGCACGCGCTAAGGTTTCCGCGTGCCGGGTCGATCCGGCTGACCCGACCCGACTCCGGACCCGACCCAGGGTTCGACCCGTTGACTCGACCCGGACCCGACCCGTTGACCGAACCGGTCAACCGGTCGGACTGATCAGCGGTCAGACCGGTCGGGCCGGCCTTTTTGGCCGGCTTAGGCGCCGGCGCGTGAAGCCCACTCGCTGCACCTTCAGGAGGCGTGTGAGGGCGCGTCCGGCCTCCGATTGGAGCGTGCAAGGTACCTGCGTGCTCGTATTAAGATTCTCTACACTGTGATATATTTATTTTACATGTTTGATACTTTTGAGGATGTGAAAATACATACGGAACCCTATATACACGTATTTTTAGGGTATATTTTCGTATTTTCATGTATTTCTCTATGGTTTAAGAGATACAGATTAAATCTTAGATGTATATGATAACATATGGAAATGTAGATCCTGTTTCATTGATAGTATGTATAAGGTTCAACATATATCAATGTATAAAGCAATGTAATTAGCATAGTATGTAATTTTAGAGACATTGCCCATGTCTTCCGGTCTATAATTACATATATATAGAATAAGTGAGACATAAAGTTTATATCCTTAGTATGAGAGAGTTTCAATGATTCAATTTGGTAGTGACCGCCGAAGTGGCACACTTGATTGAGTTTGAGAAATATCAGTCTCGTATTGTTAGGATGTCTCCTGTTCTAATGTGTTATTATACTCCCAAAGGATGTGATTATGTATTGGTTCATGGAGGGATGCATATACAGGATGCGTGAGGAATGACTGATCCTAGTGGTTCATACACCCAAAGGTGGTGAATTCATAAAAGATTGGAATATATTCTCATGGCCGTTGTAATGTAGAGGGTATATAATTGCATATCATGTATTCTGCCCAAAGCTGATTATATGATGATGTGTGTAACTCTCAGGAAAGTACTCACATGATGCTGATTATAGATATTGCTTGTTTTTTAATAGTCACATTCTCCCTGAACGGCAACTCCATAAGTATTGAGGTTCTTACTGGTTCAAACTTTAAGAAATGGAAAGAGGATTTTCTATTTGGTATGGAGCTGGCAGATATTCATGTTGCTCTTACTGAGGATAAGTGTGACGCCCCGACCTCGGGGTTATAAACGTGACGTCTCGTTCATTATTATCTTTCTTTAAATACAAGCGGAAGCATATCACGAGACAATCACATTGAAAACAAATAGCGGGATTCAGACAAACAGCATCATGAGCAAACCTTGTATTTATAGGACACGCAAACATATTTTACAGGCCAACTTAGCCGATTTTTGCCATTTATACAACAAACGTTCTGGCTTGGGTGTCCTAAGCCCACTACTTCGGGTTCACAGCTCCGAGCTTTCCCCGAACTCCAACATGGCTCAAACTCCCCCTTTCACCGCTGTCCGTTCGACCATCCTATGAACCTAAGGGGAAAAACGAGGGATGAGTCGGGGAGACTCAGCAAGTGAAAACACTAATATCAAGCGATGATATATCAATCGCCGTTAACATAAGTCGACCCTTACCGTACCCGCATCGATGGCAGATCAATAGCAAAGTTCAAACAAGAGAACATCACGCATGGCCACATCATGCACACTTTACAAACCAAGGCTCGGTTCTATCTCAAAACAACATCAAACATGAAACATGATCAAATCAAGAAATGAACCAACTACAACCAACCAAACAACCGAGAAACGGTCCAAGCAAACCACGTCACAACGCATCTCAACATCCTTTCCCGATATTAGGGAATTCACTTACACAACAATTAAACAAGAACTAGAGAAAACGAGGCGTGTGAAGGACACGTGAGTCTCGGCAATTCTCGGGCGATTCTTGGTGGTTCTCGGGCTTAAACACGAACACTCGGGCCTTGCATAAGGCTTCCTCACTCGATCAAACCACAAGAGAGAGACATGGGCTAGGCGGTAAGCTTTTTCTCTCTTTCTTTCTTTCTTTTTCTCTCTTTCTCGGTCATGAATACAAAGCAAGAAATAAGAAAGAAGGTTGGCCGGAGCTCTCGGGGCGTGGAAATAGCGTGAGGGAGAGGAAGGGGGGGCTTCACGTGAGGCTCTCCCTCTCTCTCTCTCTCTCTCTCTCTCTCTCTCTCTCTCTCTCTCTCTCTCTCTCTCTCTCTCTCTCCCTATTAATAGAAGGCTTTTCTTGGTCACTACTCAAGCCAATCAATGCATGTCATCATGGAGGGGCCCTAAAGTCTTGATTCATTAATGCAACCCATCATGAAGGGCCACCAAAGTCTAACTTAATTAATACAAGCCATTAATGATCCTCTCTTTCTCTCTTTGGCCGAATGGCCCTCTTCTCACGGCTCCCCCTTGGCTTGGCCGAATGGCCTTGCCTTGTGCCCCATAATGATAGGGCCTCCAAAGTCTAAGGTCATTAATGCTTGTTATCATGAAATAGGGCTTCTAAGTCAAGGTCATTAATTAGGCTTCTTGAACAAGCTTCATTCTTGGCCATTCATCTCCAACTTGGGCTTCACTTGTTATCATGAAATAGGGCTTCTAAGTCAAGGTCATTAATTAGGCTTCTTGAACAAGCTTCATTCTTGGCCATTCATCTCCAACTTGGGCTTCAAGTTTTGATTTCTCTAGAATCATCCAATTCCAAGCTTGCTTCTCTCTCTCGGTTTCCCCCTA